GAGCACCCAAGTCAACATGGAGCGGGGGGGGGGGCAGCCCAATATGGGGTTGAAGGGGGAGGGGGGGTTGCAGGGGGCCAGCAAAATAATTCAAAGCGACACCCTTGCTGTTAGCCATTTGTATGCAGGCTGTTTGATGGGGCACATTTTTTAGCTGCATTGCAATATCACCACGATTTTATCCTTCCATTATTTTAGCATTCTAAACGGGAGCTCAGATGTCGACGACCCGGCGTCGCAGCAATACGAGAAGAGAACACCGACGATGGTACAGACACGGGTGGGAGGCGTTGGGTGCACGTGGCATCAAGTGGGTGCACGTGGTGCAAGCCAGGAATCCACCCGTTTTGGGTACTTTTAAGAACTGATGTCAGATGCCAGCTACCAGAGCATATGCAAACGTGGAGCCAACTGCGCGGTGTGAGCGAATGTACCGGCTACGACTCACTGGTAGTTCTCAAAACAGTCCGACTCAAAGGCGCACCAGGAATCGATCAAGAAGCGGCCAGTGTTGCCCTTCTCCAAACCGATCTTGGATAACAGCTGCTGTCGCCGGAAGCGAAGTAGTGCTGCGAAAACTACACCGGCGTGGGCTCGGTTTAATGCGACCAATGCCCGCTAAAAATACCGGCTGCGTCACAGTTGCTAAAACCGCACGTTACTGCGAAGGCATCGACTGCGGCGACTGAAATAGCCAAGCCTTACCATCAGCCGTGATGCTGGCTTTATAGCCAATTATCATGAAGCATTACTCGTGGATGAGCGCGCGTATGTCAAAGCTGTGTACATCCGCCTGTCAAATTATCGGGGTTAGGCCTCCGACGCATTGATGAAATCTGTTGGTGTGGGTGACTGAAGGCGTCTGGCTTTATTTACTTAATTTTTAACCATTCACATGCAAGAAGTTTACAAATGTCACATTTGCTGTCGCCACGCTCGTCCCCCGCTTTGTATGACGTTGTATTGGTCTAGTTAGTTTTATGACGCACCCCCTGGTGATGTCGCGCATTCATGGCGGTGTCGCCTGGTGATGTCGCATTCTTAGCGGTGTCGCTTGGTTATGTCGCATTCATGGCGGTGTCGCTTGGAGATGTCGCATTCATGACGGTGTGGCCTGGCGACGTTGTATTCTCGGCGGCGTCGCCTGGTGATGTTGCATTCATGGCGGTGTCGCCTGGTGATCTCGCATTCATAGCGGTGTCGCCTGGTGATGTCGCATTCATGGCGGTGTCGCCTGGCGATGTCGCATTCATAGCGGTGTCGCCTGGCGATGTCGCATTCATAGCGGTGTCGCCTGGTGATGTCGCATTCATAGCGGTGTCACCTGGCGATGTCGCATTCATGGCGGTGTCGCCTGGTGATCTCGCATTCATAACGGTGTCGCTTGGTGATCTCGCATTCATGGCGGCATCGCCTGGTGATGTCGCATTCATCGCGGTGCCGCCTGGTGATCGCCATCGAGGATGGATACTGACGTGTGACCGAGGCTACGGCATCATACCTGTCAGAAACATGACTAGGTTCGTTCGAGTTCGTTTGTCGGTGAACGTGCCGCAACAGGCTGGCGAGGGTCTCAATCTCCCGCAAGCGTCTTTCTGCCATGTCAGTTCTTGGATGCCAAAATATATCTAACTAATAGCTTGTTTGGCTATGTTGCAGCCAATAAATGCAACCTACCGCTGTGCGCCCGTTTGGCGTTGTATGCCACGAAAATTATGCATGCTGGCGTAAACAGCTGAAGTCAGATTTCTCTGATGAGCTTTCAGTTGTGTTCACCGAGTGATATTCGTACCCTCAGGGTATTCGTCTTTCTTTGGCCGAACATGCAAAACATTCGTTCTGAATTTGTAGTACCAGGGAGTCGCCTTTCAGTGGAGTGTGACAGGGTGGATTACAGCTGCATATGTGTTATCTGCTACAGCTGGACGTCAGTTACAGTAGTTTACCCGTCAATATTCGTGGCCATAGGTTGATAGGCTTTGTAATGTTGGCGTACTGTTTTATAAGGCGTCTGCTATAGGAAGGTTACGACGCTAAGGGTCTTATCGAATGTCCCACGTTGCTTAGTGCCTGCATGCAGCAACGAATAGCATGACACTTGCGATTCTGAAGGCTATGCGGAGTGATGAACGAATTAATGCGTGGTGGTTTAATGAAAAAGAAACCGGTGACTGCAATGCTCGGAGCCCAGCTCGTCAGCACATTTGAGCCAGCCTACCACCAAATGATATGTTTACGCAGTCTCGTAAACACACTGTGCACAGCACATGGTGGTGATGACCTGCTTTTGATATGGAGAGCATGGGGTATGATTACTTACAGGAATGCATATTTTCATCGCTAGCTGGTACCCAAAATGTGTATATCGGCGTTAGAAAGACTCTCAACATGATGAGTATGTTTCAGCCCCGGGCACCACCTCGGTCAGATGTAACAATCATATGTCACGCCGCTGTCTTCAGCAGTTATTTTGGCAATGGCTGCCGCCGGATTGGGATAAAATATTCAACTGCGCTCTTGATTTTGTCTGATTTCCTGGCAATTGTACAATGTGTATAACGCACAGTGCCGCCCTGGGAGTCCATCAATTGTTCAAGTCAATTAATTCGATTCTGAACTGAAATCTCGCCGGGTGGCAGTGCTGGGATCGGGTCGCCAAGCTCTGAAATCCCATTTTCAATTCGGCTGAGGCGGAGCGTGCCCGCTATTTAGCGTTGCTGATGTTTTAAACATTCTTCGGCTCAAATATTCCTGGCGCTGGTCGATTGGGCGCGCACGGGTTGTCTGCGGGCTACGTCCGGTTCGCGGGGCTCATCTGATCTTGCTCACGGCCGCCCGAAATTGAATCGCGCCCCGCTGTCAGCGCATTAGCGGACGCTGCGCCCCGTCCGGTTGTCTCACTATGCATTCTGGGACGGCGTTGTCTCGGCGGGCGAGCGTGCTGGCCACTGTAGGACTGGGGCAAACGCACCGGCGCTGGCTAAACTTACGTACACATCACTGATGCCATTCAGAGGGCCTAGCCTGGCAGCTCTGTGGGTTTCGACCACCTTTTAGTTGTTTTCGGGGAGAGTGACTAACGTCACTACCGGGTGGTCCCGCCGCTCATCAGCTGACTGCGCCGGTTCGAGTGCAGTCACCCGATGGGCGCGAATCTGATGTGTCTAATTTTTTATCTGCCGATGACGTAACTCGTTGGCGAATTGTCCTAGACCGCGTGTCCGTTGAAATGCAAAGAACTTTGAACGAAATGGACATGATTACACATCAATAAGAAAATGTGCGGAATGCTGGATTCCTTTGCGATTGTTCTTGACATTATCTTGCACGCTTGCGTGCACTCTCCTCCAGGGGTGTTGGGGGGGGGGGGTGGCCTGGGGGGGGGGGAGGAGGAGCTGACGCCTGTGTTTCAGAAGGGCCTTGTTTCCTCGAAGCGGCCATTTAAAAGGATCAGTCCAAAACTGATATTGTTGGGAGAGGTGTCCCCATATCAAACCTGCTGCGCAGCCCACTAGCATTAGCACGGAATATGGCAAGAACAGATGTAAGATAAACGTGTTAATAGGGTCACAGCTAGTTTGAAGGAAGTCGTACATTAGAGGTAAGGGCGCCTGTTAAAGTCGTACCAGAAAAGCGTGGCGTGGCTTATGCCTTGATGAGAACACCTTGCGTCGTTAGTGGAGTAATTTCAGTGAACAGTTAACAGATTTCCTCCGTTGCGCGCTTTCTGCTGTTAATGCCTCCAATTATTTGTGAAGTTGACGTCAGAAGGAACGACCTGAGGATCTGAATGGCCTACCAAGAGCCAATGATGGACGCGCTGCTTCCCGTCGGCAAGCTGTGGGCACAAGTTATTTAGCATGCACATGAAACAAGCCCCACAGCTAAAAACAGCTTACATAGGTACCAGATGTCACTTTGTGACACAACCACGACGTGCCCGGCCTCGGACGGCTCCACATTTTCATTTACCTTTCATAAGGTCGTGACACATACTAGGACTTTGACCGTGAGACAGCTGCGGTCCTAATGAGGCACACGTGAGCACGAAGCAGCCCCCGGGAAAAGCTAGTGCATGGGGTGTTGGTCTTGTCATTTTGATCTGTCCAACACGATGTGAACTTTTTGTGTGCATAGTTTTTCAGGCATGTGTTGAAGGGTGTTACGACTTTTGCATGTCGGGTAGAATTCGATGTGCTGTTTTTGACTCGCTCTTCTCTGAGCCGGATCTCCTCCAATCCGCCCTCCTCTGACTCGCTGTCCTCTGACCGGCTCTCTTTTGACACGCTTTCCTCTGACTGGCTCTCCTGACCCGCTCTCCTCTGACCCGCTCTCCACTGACCCGCTCTCCTCTGACCGGATCTCCTCTGACCCGCTCTCCTCTGACCGGCTCTCCCATAACCGGCTCTCCTCTGAGCGGCTCTCCTCTGACCGGCCTCTCCTCTGACCGGCTCTTCTCTAACCGGCTCCCCTCTAACCGGTTCTCCTCTGACCGGCTCTCCTCTAACCCGCTCTCTACTGACCAGCTCTCCTCTGACCGGCTCTCCTATAACCGGTTCTCGTCTGACCGGCTCTCTTCTGACCGGCTCTCCTCTAACCCGCTCTCCACTGACCGGCTCTCCTCTGACCCGCTCTCCTCTAACTGGCTCTCCTCCGACCCGCGCTCCACTGACCCGCTCTCCTCTGATCCGCTCTCCTCTGAGCGTCTCTCCTCTGACCGGCTCTCATGTGACCCGTTCTCCACTGACCCGCTCCTCTCTGACCCGCTCTTCTCTGAGCCGTTCTCCTCTGACTTACTCTCCTCTGACCGGCTCTCCTCTGACTAGCTCTCCACTGACCGGCTCTCCACTGACCGGCTCTCCTCTAACCCGCTCTCCACTGACCGGGTCTCATCTTATCCGCTCTCCTCTGAGCCGCTCTCCTCTGCCCCACTCTCCTCCAACCCGCTCTCCTCCGACCCACTCTCCTCTGACCGGCTCCCTCCTCCGTCTGCCCGGCAGGCGTGCTGTCTCTGTTCGCCGCGCAGGCCGGGGCCCGGCGCGTGTACGCGGTCGAGGCGTCCGCCTTCCACGTGCTGGCCCGCCGCACGGCCGAGCAGAACGGCCTGGCCGACCGGATCCGGGTGGTGCATGGCCGCGTGGAGGACGTCCAGCTGCCGGAGAAGGTCGACGTCATCGTCTCGGAGTGGATGGGCTTCTACCTGCTGCACGAGTCGATGCTTGACTCGGTCATTGTCGGCAGGGACAGGTGAATGCGCCGGGGAAGGGAGGGGTGGGGGGGGGGGGGGGGGGCAGGGGCTCACGGAGCGGTCGCCGTGATTGCTGACCCGCCTAGGCCATGCCTGCCTGAGCCATGTCTGCCCGGGCCACGCGCGCCCTGTGATCCACCATGGCAAAGCGTATGCCAAGTCAGATGTTATGAATTATGGGCAGTTCATGGTCAGCAGCATTTTGTTCCGATAGATCCCTTGAAGGAAAGCAGCGGTGTTGTTCTTCACTGCGACGGGGTTGCTCGCCTTGCTCAGCAGTGTTGTGATCTATGCGCCGGTCAGGATGTAAGCCAATGTTGAGCCCGGTGGTCGCACAGCCCACCTGTGTGGCGTGCTCGGCAGGTATCACTGTCGAGATACAGCTTATTATACCCGTTGTAAATGGTGTACTCGGCTGAAGACCCGGTGACCATTGTGTGCGGTGTTCTCCGCCGCACGCCCTGTGGCCCGCGTGTGCGGTGTCCTCTGCCACACGCTCAGTGCCCTGCGTGTGCGGTGTTCTCTGCCGCACACTCAGTGACCCGCGTGTGTGCGGTGTTCTCTGCCACACGCTCAGTGCCCTGCGTGTGCTGGTGTCCTCTGCCGCACGCCCTGTGACCCGCGTGTGCGGCGTTCTCTGCCGCACGCTCAGTGACCTTCGTGTGTGATGTTCTCTGCCACACGCTCAGTGACCCGCGTGTGCGGTGTTCTCTGCCACACGCTCAGTGACCTGCATGTGCGGTGCTCTCCGCCAAACGCCATGTGACATGCGTGTGCGGTGTTCTCTGCAGGTTCCTGAAGCCGGATGGCCTCATGTTCCCGGACGTGGCACGGCTGTACGCCTGCCCGTCCACGCTCGACTCGTTCTACTGTGAACAGCTCGCCTGCTGGCGCCGCCCGTACGAGCTGGACATGAGCCCCGTGGCCGAGGCGGCCAGGCTCAGCATGCAGAGCGCCCCTCAGGTCGGTCGGGTCTGGCCCTCGGGCGTGACCCAGGTGTGCCCCCGGCCGGTCCTCTCTGGTCCTTAGGTCTACCCCCATTCTGGTCGTCGGATTGGACCCCTCTGGTCCTCATGCGCACCTTGCTTCTGGTACGCAGGTTTAACCCTTCTGGTCCCTAGGTTTGACCCTTGTGGTTCGATCTGCCCTATCCCCTTCTGGTCCTCAGGTCTGAGACCCTTGCGGTCCTTAGGTCTGCGCCTTTAGGTCCCAAGTCTGTTCCCTCTCGGGGCCAGATCGACTCCCCGTGGACTCGTCCCTTTGGGCCCACCGCGGCGCCACTTGCAGCGGTCCGGGGCCTGCACGGCCTCGCGGGGTGTGTCCGGACTGGAGGGACACGCAGCACGTGACGTACGCGAGGCGATCATCAATATTGATGCGACGTCGTGCACTCGGTGGATTGAAACCGAAGGGACACTTTGTGTCACAGCTAATCGAGAAGGGGTCTACCACTGCAGGGATCTCAGGCCATTTAAGACAAATGGAGGGAGCGCTCTCTTTTTTGAGATTACAGTGCACGCCCGTTATGCCCGCAGCTATCGGAACAAGATTAACCTATCATGACTTGCAGACACCAGGTGCACATAGCAGCGCCGAGGCCTGCGTCAAGGGTGTGGCGTGACGTCCGCACCAGTGACAGCCACCTGCCTCGACGCCGCGTCGTAACAGCTTCGCAGCTGTGCGCGCCCCCGCTGACGGCGCTCGCTCCGCAGGTGCTGCAGACCCACCCGGAGGAGCTGCTGGCCGAGCCGGAGCTGGTCCACGAGTTGTACCTGCAGTACGTCAGCGCCGAGGAGCTGGAGACGCTGAGCTGCCGGCGCTTCGTGACGGTGACGCGGTCCGGCCCGTACCGCGGCCTCTGCCTCTGGTTCAGCTGCCAGTTCCCGGGCGGCGGTGGCGCGCTGGATACGGGGCCACGTGCGCCCGTCACCCACTGGAAGCAGACGGCCGTTGTCCTGCCGACCGACTACCCGCTGCAGGCGGACGAGGTGGTCGGCTTCGAGCTGACCCTGTGCCGCGCGCCGGACCAGCCGCGCCGCTACAGCCTCGCGCTCGCCATGCTTGACGACGACGAGCCTCACCCGGTGCCGTGCTCGTGCGCGGTCGGCCGGTGCCGCCTCATCAAAGCGCTGATGGACCAGGAGGACGCCGAGCTGGAGCGCGCCGGCGACTGACGTGGCCCCGGCGGCGGCGGCGGCGCGCGCGGACCGGAGCGCCGGGCTCCGGTGCGCGTGGCGGCAGATGTGGCGGCGGTGCAGGCGGCCGTGCTTCGCGCCGCCGGCGGCTGATCTCGCCGAAGCGGTGCACTCAAGCCGCGTTCGGCCGTTGACAGCGAGCAGTCGTCGTCGGTCATCTCAGTCGCCGCAGTCGACGATAACGAGCGGAAGACCGACCGACGTCGAAATCGTCGGATTGCGCTCATCAGATCACCGCGTGTGGCGTGCGTGCGGAGATGAAGCTGCAATAAAGGCTGCCATTGTGTATGAAGGCCTGTGACCTCGATGGTCACCGGCGTCGGAACGTTCCACGTCGGCCGCCTGTTTCCGTCCAGCACCTAGGCCGCACGCTGCGGTACCGGCGCGTCCACATCGCCGGAGACGGGGGTGGCATCTTCCAGAAAGGCCGGGCCGTCGTCTCGCGCGCGCCGCTCCCTGAATAATTGATGGTGTCCGCTGGGACCGTGGGACTAATCGAATCGCTCCAACAGAACTGTAATTGGCGCCGATTTAAGTTGTCTCCCTGGGAGTGGTCGGGGGCGACCGAGCGCGCTCCTCATCACAGGAACAGCTGGTGAGGTCTCGCCCGGGACTGATCACTGCCGGGACACTTCTGACCGCGACAGGCGCGCAGGTGTGCTGACAGCGCTGCGCTGGGGTGTTCTGTTGTGGCCTGCGGTCACCGGGTTAGGCTCGCTGACGCGTTCTGCTGTGGCCTGTGGTCACCGGGCTGGACCGGCTGGAGTGTTCTACTGTGGCCTGTGGCCACCGGGTTGGGCTCGCTAGGGTGTTCTGCGGCCTGTGGTCACCGGGTTGGGTCCACTTGGGTGTTATGGGCATGTGGTCACCGTGCTAAGCTCGCTGGGGTGTTCTGCTGTGGCCTGTGGCCACCGGGTTGGACCCGTTGGGGTGTTCTGTGAAATGTGGCCACCGGGTTGGGCTCGCTTGGGTGTTCTGCTGTGACCAGTTCAGTCCTACCGGGACTCGGCGCGTCGAGACAGGCTGTTGTAAGCGCTGTTGCGAGACTCCAGTGTGCTGTGCTGTACCGCTGTTCCTGATGGTCCGGGACGCTGGTGTGCGGAGTGTGCTGCTGTGATTGGCTGTTGGGGCCTCCGTCACGCTGTACTATCACGCTGTGACCGACGGTCCCGGGCTGCGGCATGTTTTGGTGCTCTGTTGTCACCCGCGGCTCTGACCTCCGGTGATCTGCGGTATGCTGCTGCAGCTGGCTGTCCTCTCAACCCCTCGTAGGCGGCAGGTTTCTGCTGGTACCGCTGCTGGTCCGGCAGTTTTGCCTGCTGTAATATGTGGCTCTGGCGGCGGGCGCTTCGAGACTAGGTGTTTTAAAACCGTTGCTTAGCCTGTGATCTCGAGCTTCAGTGATTTTCATGCTGGCGGCGGAATAACAACGGTCGGTCAGACGCCAACGTTCCAGCTTTGAACTTCCCATCTCACAAAGCCCGCCGGGGGCAAAAGCCTCGCAGGGTTTTTCTCCGCCACTAAATTATTATTAAATGACGGCGACGGAAGGTGAAAGCGGCCAGAGCGCCGCGCCGCTCTGTGATGCGCCACCACGACGGCGGCGAAAGATCCGCTCCCAGATCCCTTAATTAAAACTTGGCGCCAGCTGCCAGCTTGGCGCGCATCTTAATCCCGCGCTAACCCACTTCTCGCATTTCTAATGATGTGTAAATAACACAGGGCAAGTTTTCCGCTTCTCGGGTTGGCCACGTGACGAAACAAACATGTGGGGCTGCTGGATAGTTGTTTGACTCCGGGAAACACTGAAGCTATCTTAACTAAACTGGAAAAGAGAAGAAGGCGTTGGAAGTTCAGCATAGGGTGAAATGAGAAACTTGGGCGACATTTACCGTGCTTACACTTGCGCGGCGGCCGGATATGAAGTTATCCCGAATTCTAAAGCGTTGCGATCCTGAATGTTTCAGTTCACGAACGTCCTGCCTCATGGGTCCCTGCATGGCGCCGTATGATATCCGTATCTCATTGGTTGGCGTCACAGCTATGTGTGCCACTCTGAGATTTAATTCTACATTGCAGGGCGATATTCCGCATGTGTCGCTGTGGTTTGAAACTCATTAAAAAGTACCATGTATGGTCCTTTGATGTTGGGCATCAATAAACCTCGCAAGTGTTACGTAACTTAAAGACCATGTGGTAAGGAGTGAAGTGCAGTTTGGGAAGCGCTGCGCATTAACTGGTGGATACCCAACGGCCAGTCGTTCTGATTTCGATTCAGTTGCGGTAACTGCTGTGCCATCACATGTCGAAGGAGAATGTGCAAAATGCCTGCGCCGATGTCCTGGTGTGAAGTCGCTGCAAGCGGCAAAGCATCAGCCTGGTGAGGCTCAGCGGAGTTCCGCTGCCGACACTGCGAGATCGGGCCGCCGGCAGTAACCGTTGGATCTCCGGCGACTCAGCGGGGTTCCGCTGCCGACACCGCGAGCTCGGGCCGCCGGCAGTAACCATCGGATCTCCGGCGACTCAACGGAGTTCCGCTGCCGACACTGCGAGCTCGGGCCGCCGGCAGTAACCGTTGGATCTCCGGCGACTCGACGGGGTTCCGCTGCCGACACTGCGAGCTCGGGCTGCCGGCAGTAACCGTCGATCTCCCCGGCCCGCTCGCAGAGCTCGTGGCCGACTACAGCGGTTCCCCGTGCTGGCGGCGCCGCTGTCGCCGCGGGACCCATCGCGGAGCCTGCGCGTCGCCTATGAGCAGAATGTTACGGCTCGGCTTGGGCCAACTGCTGATCGGCCGACTGTGCTGTGCGCTGGCGGGGCGCTGACAGCCAATCGGCCGACTGTGCTGTGCGCTGGCGGGGCGCTGACAGCCAATCGGCCGACTGTGCTGTGCGCTGGCGGGGCGCTGACAGCCAATTGGCCGACTGTGCTGTGCGCTGGCGGGGCGCTGACTGCCGATCGGCCTACTGTGCTGTGCGCTGGCGAGGCGAGGCGCTGACTGCCCGCCATCAGCCAACATCCCGGGGCCAATGCAGTCTCGATGAGACCAATATCGCGGGCACTGCGAGCACATGCCTGTATCAGATACTGCCGCCCCTGCTCCGCGCTGGAGAGGGGGGGGGGGGGGTTGCACAGGGGTCAGGGCCATGCGCCGTATTATTTCTTGTGGGCCCGTGTTGGCGTCATGGGCGCACTGTGGGTGTGTTTATTTTTCCCGCTGCAGCGGGCCGGAACTTCCCCACGGTATGGAGATTTTTGCCCGGCGCGCTGATGTCTGAGGCTATTTTGGGACATTGAATATCCCAGGCCTTGCTTTGCTACCGGTGGCGGTGCAGGCTCAGCACTGATGAACTCGGGGAGCCCCGGTACTTGTAAGCGGAGCGAAGGGTTATTCGAGTGGTTAACAACGGTGGCACATCTTGTAACTGCTGTTAAGAGGTTTTATGAAGCTGGTAGCTGAGGCCCATTGTCCGCCTTCCGCTTTAAAGCTTCATTGCCAACGCTGCATCTGTAAAATTGTGAGACTCCCCGTTAAAGTTACGCTGCTCTCTGCCTGTGTAAGAGCGTTAGAGCTCTTAAAAGATAGTTTTTTTTGTATAAAAGTGGAAGCTAACCATACAGCCTTTATCGAAAGTCCAAATTTTCTCGGCCAGTCTTGATGTTTCAAGTTTTGGCAGTGCATTATGTGACCATGTGTGTAGGCGGGTACAGCTGTCTGTGGGTATTGCTTACCTAGACAATGATTTTCCTAGGAATTGTGCTAGTGTGAAAGGTGGACCTGCTTAACCATTGCTGGTTGAAATGTGCTTCTCTTTCTGGAAAACAAACCGTAAGATGACTTATTTTAGCCTCATGATACCAACCATGTTAACAAAACAACAAAATTGCATCATCTGTCCCTCGAAAATTAAGCACTACGTAAAGCACTAAAGCACTAAAAATCCTACACTGACAACGGTGTTCACAGCATCTGGAAGGGTCAAGAGGTGGGGCTGGCACTCCATTGTTCAATGAGTCCGCTGAGCATGAGCCAGAGCCCCCTCCATTAAGGTTAATCCCCAAAATGTTAGGTAAGAATAGGTTTGGTTAAAGTTACGTTATATCCCTTGGAATTGTCGGCCATATGAAGACAGTGACAGCATCCTGAAATCGCCTTTCACTTGGGTGGAAGGGCGATGCCAATATTTACAAGGAGGTGGAAAAATTATGCAACTGCCCACATGCTTAACGTCCCAAAAAATGGGTCGGAAGATACATTTGCCCGCTTACCATTTGTTTTTATTGGCCCCGCTTTTTCAGGCCCTAACCACCGTACTGATCTGGTACCCCGCCCATGCGCAAGTATTTCCTAATTTCATACTTGCTCACCAACCACCGTTCACTAAAGACCATGTTTTCATGGGGTGATAGTTATTGGTAATCGCAAGTAATGTTCGCATCATTTGAATTAGCAGAAAATACAACTCAGGTGCCAATTGACCCCTAGGAATTTTTCAACCTAGCTGTAAAGAGTACGCCATACACCGGAAAAACCTCTCTAACACGATCTCAACCCAGCAGATGTTAAAGACGCCAGTTTTTCGCAGCGTGCTATGGAATTGAAGAAACCTGAGCCAACCAAGACGTTTTCTTGTTCAAGATACGTAGAACGAACAAGGTGCGTCCAATGCACGCTTTACCCCCCCCCCCCCCCCCCTCCCGCCCAACAAATTATAAACTCATGGCATGAGTCGATCGCTGCGCAATTATCATTTTGGTCAAAGCACTTCCACAACGAATGTACCGCGATGTGGTACGGATATTTCATTGGACCCGTGCCAAGACCAGCGCTGTCGAGCTACTGCTCCTCAGCAAACTCAGGAAAAAGGGCCACCAAATAAATCGGAAACGTGCCACCAATCCAGTGCAGTTAAGCTTCTAACGATTTTAGGGAAACTCATCCCTATCACCAATTGGACAGTGATTTAGAACCACTACGTGAGCCATCACTTTCAGCAGGCTGTTGTCGGAGGTCAGCGTTCTATCAAAATCTGGTCCATGGTTCAGCGCTCTGGCGGGACTGTGCTATCATCTTCGGGAATCTCCGTCATCCCTCGGCGGATGGCGATTCACTTTAGGCAGGAATAAAAACTCGATGCTAATTCGCGCCCTGATTTGCCGCTATCAATGTGACGGACTGATGGGTGACGGGAGAGGGGGCGATGCGACCCCTGCGGTTTTCAAATATCATCAAAATTGTCCTCGAGGCTCCATCAATAAAGGTAGACCCTGGAGGAAAAATTGCAGTGGATTGTTCTATACAAAATTTCCCGATTGGTGATAAGTTTCGTATCCCGAAGTTAAAACTTGGATCAATTCGGCAAGGTCAAAGGACAAATTTCCTAAAATTGGATTTTTTTTTGGTTTCACGTGCTCACATGCACAGGACCATGCCTTGTGGCGACACGAGACTTCAACAGGCGTA